CCCCGATCTGGGGCTGGTCCATCAGGACAGCTATAACAGAACATAGCAGCCATCAACACCCAACTTGGGGCTGGCCCATCAGGACAGTCTACAACCTAACAGAGCAGTAATCAATATCTGACCGGGGGCTGGCCAGCAGAGGGCGCAGAAGTCACAGTGCTATCCAGGCAGGGCCCTAGGTAATGGTCATCACCGTGGATGGGTTGACTTGGGCACTTCTTGCCACATGACTCTTGTATTCTAATTGCTCTAGAAGATCTTTATGCTTAGAAATAAAAGGGGGGCATGGGAGATGGGGGTTAGAAGCTCCTAGATGGGGGGAGGAAGGAGGCAGCAGGAGAGGACAGACAGCACTTGAGTCCAAAGCCCTCAACCAACATTTACTTGCTGTGTGATTCTGGGCAAATCACCAACAGTGCCCAGCCTTGGTTTCCTCATCTGAAACAATGATACCAGCCTCCCATGAGCACTATGAAGAAGTGGTTGGCAGACTTTAAAGCAGGAGAAAAACAAATCAATTTTGCCATCCTGTAACCACTGAAGTGCCTTGAACATAGTAGAGGGAAGTCAATAAATCTGGTGGCACAGTGTGAGTCAGAAGGACCTGAGTTCCAATCCTGCCTATGTAAGTCTGGACAAGTTAACCTCCCTCTGCCTGAAGAAACTGATATCATCCTATAAAATGAGGATAATAACAGCACCTACCTAACAAGACTATTGTGACGATCATATGACATTTGTACAGTGATCTGCAAACCTTAAATCGCTATATAAATGCTAGTTATTATTTTATTTTTTAATGAATAAAAGAAGTCCCAAAGGAAAAGAAAAGGACTAAAATAAGATAACACTCAAGGTCCTTCTGAAGAAGTCAGTAGGTCTCCTCATGATACTTTATACTGAGAGCTCTAGGCTCTGAAGGATTGGTCAGAACCAAGATAGTAAGGGTTCAGGTCAGCAAGCATTAAGTGCCTACTGTGTACCAGGCTCTATACTAAGCACCAGGGAGACAAAGGAAGGCAAAAGAGACCAGTCCGTGGTCTCAGGAAGCTCCCAGTCTAACAGGGAGATAGTATACTCTGCATGAACAAGGTATAGATGGGATACACTGGAGATGGGCTCAGCGGGAAGGCACTCCGGAGTAGGAGGACGGGGAAAGGCTTCCTGGAGAAGGTGGGATTTTCCATGAGGAGGAGGCCAGGAGGTGGTGGTGATGAAGCAGTGTCCCAGGCACAGAGGGCAGTCAGCGTCACTGGGTAGCAGAGTGAGGGGTGAGAAGACTGGGGGCGGGGGGCAGGTTGTGACAGGCTTTCAAAGCCAGGGGATTTTCTATTTGATCCTGGAGAGATCAGGAGCCACCAGTATGATCAGGCCTGCACTTCAGGCTGATGGCTCCGACAGCTGAATGAAGGATGGACAGCAGTGGCAGAGACTGGAAACAGGCAGACACCCCAGCAGGCTATGGCAATGGCACAGGTGGGAGGTGAGGGTGCATGAGGGTGGGCTGGCAGGATCAGAGGAGAGAAAGGGTGTGTCAGAGAGAAGTCACAAAGATAGAAGCCACAGACTTCGTATTGGGCGGGACAGTGGAAAGACTGGACAGGTCTCCAAGTCAGCTCTCAATGCTGCTCCTGACCCCGCTACTTAAGGTTAAACAGACATGCTTCTTAACCTTTGTAATTAGAAGGCTAGACTAGGCCCCCTTCCAGCCGTGACACCGTAACCCTTAAGGTTCCTTCCAGCTCTGATGTTCCCCAACACCCCCAAAGGCTCTCCAGCGCCTGCAGCTCCAAGATGGCGCCAGAACTCTTCTCTGTTATGTTGAAGAAGCCAAGCCCCACATTCACAGAGGCAGGAGCCCCTGTTCTCGAAGGGTCTGATGAGATGTTTAAATCTGGGGGGGGTGTGTGGTTCTTCCCTGTCTCTTGATTTTAACCTTATTGAAAGACAACACCCTCGACTTTTCTGAGTCCTGAAGTGGTATTCGTCTTCACCATAAGTTGTGATTACCTTGGAGAGGAAACAGACATCCTTCCCCAAAGCAGACCCCCACGTCTGCCACTGCGGGATTCAGCCTGAGACGTGACAGCCTAGAAATCAGGACCCACTGTGTCCTTCCAGGGACTTCCACAGGGGAGGCCAGCCTCCCTCTTTCCTTCAGGCTCTCTCCCAGGGGCCTCACTTGCTTAGGAATTTAAAGACAAGAGCGGGGAAAACTCAAGTTCCCAGGGCTTTCAAAAAGCTCCTCACAGCATTTAAAAACATAGAACTAGAGGACATTCAGACCAGCAGGGGCTAACCCTGGACAGAAGAGGGCTTTGAATTCACTCTGAACAAACAATGTGTTTTCTAGATAACAGGTATTTGCCTGGCAAACAGGGAATCCCTCACTAATAAAAAAGTCAACAGGGGCAAGAAGGGGAATCTTCTTGAGATAATATCCTTTGTCCCAAAAGCCTCACCAAGGGGATGCCCGTGACTGGAAACCGGGGGCAGGCTGCTCAATGGTACAGACAGAAATGGAGGCCAGGTGGGGTAAGGTGCCCCCCTCCCTGGGACGTACTTCAGGGAAGGGTCGGTGCAGATGGTCCCACTTCAGAAGCTTCATGTAGGCGTGGTTCTGAATGGTCAGAAAGCACGGTGCGGCCATCTCCTCGGGGCCCAGAGCACCCTCCCCAGCTGTCAGGGAATTTTTGTTCCTCTGATTAATAAGATCTTCTGAGGCTTCTTCTAGCCACTGGGTGACAAAGTCAAGGGCATCTGTGAAGGAGAAGACAGAGTTAGAGGGCACGTCTCTGGGGACTGTGTTAGCCCCCTCCTCTCAGGGCAGGCGGGACACCATGGGGAGGCTCCCTTGGAAGAAAGGCAAATGCCCTCCCAGCAACAACGAACAGACAAAACTAGGAACAGCCATGCCCCTAGGCTGACTGGCTGTTCTAGGCTGAACGGCTACTCTCACCCACCTTTTCTACTTTCCCCTTTACACACTCTCTGTTTCCATCAAGCTGTAGCAGAAAGGGTGCTGGATTGGGGCTTCGAGTCAGGGGGCCGCTTAGTACCTGTGTGACTGTGGGCAGGTCTCCTCCCCTCTTCTGCCTCTGTTTAATCATCTGTAAATGAAGGGGCTGGACTAGGTGATCATCTTCCAGCTCCACATGTGCGGTCCTGGGACATTTCATTTCCCGCCTTTGCCCAGGGGGCATTCCATGGCTATTCCATGGGCACTCCTTCCTCCACCTTAAAACCCCTACTTTCCCTCGAAGCACAGCTCAGGGGCTACCTCCTACAGGAAGTCTTTCTGGATTCTGCTCTTTCCTTCATGGTATGACTTTGTAAACAGTCTTTATTTATTCATCTGTGTGCATATACATCCTGAAAATAGAATGTATGCTCCCTGAGGGCTGGAATTTCATTTTTGCTTTTAACCCCATTTCCTTGCACACAGTAGGCATTTAATAAATGTTTGTTGGATGGGATGGCTGTGGCTGTTACAACTGTCCCTGCCCAAGACAATTCAAATAAATGTTTTTAAATGCATTTATGGTCTATTCTAAGAGTAAGAAAAAAAAAAAGCAGAAAGGTCTTCAACTACCACGTCTAGGCTGGCATTTGGGGGAGAAGGTCTGACACTTTTTAGCATATCCAAAGTTTTTTCCAATTTCATCTCATAAACATGCGCTGAGTGCCTGCTGCATACAATGCCCTATGCAAGGCACTAGCAGAAAACAGAAAAAATAAGATCCCCTGTCCTCAAGGGGCATATAGTCTAGCAGTGGGGAAGAGAGAGAGACACACACACTTCTCTTTCAAAGGTTCCTGGCTCCACTGACCCTCTCACTTAGGAACCAAGGATGGAAAGACTACAAACAGCCCCAACCCTCAGGGTGCATACGCTCCACAGGTCTACAGCATGTACAGAAAGAGTCAGGTGTAAAGAACATTGAAGGTGTGGAGGCTGAGGGGTCGGGGGAGGCGTCCTCTTACGCGTGGCATGAGCTGAACCTTTAAGGAAGGTGGGGGCTCGGGAGACGGAGGGGACTGCAGCCTGCCTGGGAAGGGCCCAAGGGCCAAGCCAGAAGGAGAGACGGTCAAGGGGAGAGGGGAGGGAAGAGGACTCCGACCAAGAGAAGGCGCAAGAACACCACGGAAAGCTGAAACGTACTTGGTTGTTTCTCGAAAAATTCTTGAAACTTCTTCCTTTCATATTCAACTGACTGGTGCATGAGATGCGGCCTAATGCTACTGACAGCAAAGTTAGCCATGTCTACCTTCATTAGGTCTAGCACGGAAAACATTGCCCTGCAAGGCAGAAGGAAAAGACTTTTTAGTGCTACGCCCACGTGACAAGCAGACAGGCCTGACCGGGGGCCTCTGCCGCTGTGTCTGTCTGACCCTCACAGCTGTCTCTGGGGGGAACCTCTCCCCTCCCAGCCCCAGATTAAACACTTCCTTCGACAAAGGGACGACTGAGCAGAAAATGTCCGAGGACAGCCCAGTGACTGCGGGCCTCCCCGGCTTTCTGATTCCTCCAAACACAGCTTCTTTGGAGGGAGCTTTTCATTTAAATTGTGAGGGCCGTTTAGAACGCTGTTCTTCTGGGTGTGCTTTCTGGCTCTGTATCAATGAATAAAAACCTTCCCATGGTGCTCTCAATTCTTCATGACATTCACAGCCTGGATGGTTCATTTTAAAGCATGAAGATGTCCCAAACGGAGGAGGTTAGACAGAAGCCCTTCAGTCTTTAAACACCTTGGGGAAGGTGTCTTCAGGAATGGCAGCTCATTCATCATCTACTGGGGGTCTGAGAGGGATGGTTAGACCCGGGCAGCAAAAGGGAAGGAGCACAGGATTTGGAACCTGAGGACCTGGGTTTGAGACCAGGTTCTGTTACAGTTACACTCCCTGCATGGCCTTGGACAAATCCCTTCCCTTCTCTGGGACACAGTTTCCAAATCTGTAAAATGCCCAGGCAGTCTCTAAGGCATGGAATTCTTCACCTTTTCTGGGTCACAAGTGGACCTATGGGCCTTGGGTTGTCTGGAGAGGCTCATGGAACCATTTTCAGAATGATGCTTTTAAATACATAAAACACCTAAGACTACAAAATAAACCAATTATCCTGAAATACAATTATCAACATATTTAAAAAAAAAAAACAGGTTTCTGGAGCCTAGGTAAAGAACCCCTATCTAAAGCCTTGTTCACGATTAAAGTCTATGATCCCATCCCCTTTTGAAACACATTTTCCTAGTCCTAGTAACTGCTCAAAGGGACAACTGTCCTTCAGACCAACTGTAAAGGGACAACTAGGGATGAAGGGGAAGTAAAAAGGCGTCTTTTGTGTTTGCACTTGTCTGAGGGCCTTGCACGTCCCAAGGACGTGGTGTATTCACCAGAGCACTGGCTCCGTTGACATCCATCAGAAAGACGCTCTGCACAAAGCTGTTTCCAGCCCTACCGCTGAGGGAGAGGGAGCAGAGCATGTTCAAGGTGATGCTGAAATCAGAGACAGGCTAGCCCCAAGCCTCAACTCGGGCTGGGATGTAGGCCATACAGCAACACCCCCATGAAGAAGCTCCCACCATAATTAACCACAACTAATTTTTGTTGGTTCTGAGAACATTTCCTAAGCCTTGAGGATGGATGGCGGGCGCCATGATGACTCTGGATGGTTCCCAAGAGACCTTCCTCATCTGTAAAATGGGACAGAGGGACTGGATGACCTCTAAAGCCTTGCCAGTTCCAATCCTAGAGGACTTGAAGTACCAATTAAGCAACTCGGGAACATTAGGTGGTGTTGGTATGCCAATTTAGGCCCTGCCCTGCCCAGGGGAAGGGAGTGCAATAAATGTCTTCTTAAGACCCATCAAGTCCTGTGATTATGATTATACTAGATGTGATGACACATTAACAGACTCTCCCTCCCTTACTACAAAGAGTTACAGGGACAGATATGATGTTTTAGAAATAATCTCTCCCTGCCCCCTAAAATGCCCGAGATGAAAAGCAAACACTCAGGCCCTCTACTTGTTTCTTTCTCTACACCAGGCACGGCTGAGGAGGCTTTGGGGGCACTGACCAATCATGTCCTGAGTTCCTGAACCAGGCCAGGGCCCAATGCTCTCCTGGTGGACATGGAAAGGAGCCAAATGCCTCTGGACCAGGCATGCCTTCAATGCCCTTGCCGAAGCTAGCCGAAGCTGGCTCTTGGGCTTCACAGGTCTGGCTGGGGGGGGGGGGGGGGGTAGGGTTTCCTATGGGACTGGCACAAATGTTTAATGTTCTACAAAGAAATCATTTATCTTTGGAACTGGCAGGTCACCACTTCAAGGTTTTCATCAGAATGTAAACAGACCTGGCAACCTGTGTTTTAATACACCATCATCATAACTCGTATCTGGGCAATCAGGAGAGCCCTAGGTCCAAATCCTGTCCCTGATCCTTGTAAGTTGTATGACCCCAGTAGGCAAATCAATTAACCTCCCTAAGCCTCATTTTCTTCAACTGGAAAATGGGGCTCTTAAACTATACCTCTACAACTCTATCACCTATTTCACGGGGTTGTTCTGGAAACCCCAAAGTCACTTAGAATGTGAACTCTTATTATCACTGAGACATTCCTGCCAGAACGTTCCCAAAGCCCACTTACAAGGAACCAGACACTGATCTGCATTTTCTCCAGAGGAATCTCCACTGGGAAATTCCTTCCTTGCCTAGAGACCTCACCATTTTAAAATGGCTTCCTTCGAGAAGGTGCTCATTGAGGATGGTGATCAGTCAGGGAGAAAATGCTCCAAATCCCACTTTGATAAATTTATCACATGAGCTGTGTGACCCCGGGGAACTCACTTCACTTGACCTCAGTATCCTCATAGGTTAAATAGGTGTGGTAGGACTTTTAAGACCCATTTTACAGGGTTGTTGAGAGGCTCAAATGAGATAATACATGTAACGCCCTCCACAAACTTTAAAGCGTACATAAATATGGTCTCATTACTGCTACTTTTATAGTTATTATTGTCAACTCAAATCACAAAAAATACTATTTTGCTAAAGAACCGATGTCTCCTGGTATAGGATGAGAAGGTGTGGATTCAGATCTCTACCCACATGGTTAAGATCCCAAATCTCACGGTGGAAGGACTGATACTCATGGATTGGTACCTCTCTTGACAGATAGAGGGATAGGATTCTTTTTTTACAATGGCCAATGAGCAGGTTGGAAATAAATAGGAAGTAAGCAAAGGCTAGTATTCAAAAATGAGTGGTCAGGGGAGCAAAAAGCCTTACAGAATGACTTCATCAGTTCAGCCCAATTCAGGAATGGGCAATTATTAAGCACTTATTATGAGCAAGACTCTGTGCTAGGCTCTGGGAACACATGGACAAAATGCAAAACTAATTCCTGCCCTCAAGGAGCTTTCATTCTGCTTGAGGAGGGGGGAAGAGATTAGACAGCTCCCCCAAAGGGCACAGAGGGCATTTTCTAGCATACTCATTCTCCAAGAGGAAAGAGGACTCCTTTTCCTCAACTCCAAGTCCAGCTCCAAAGACAGGATCCATAGTTCACAAACACCTTCCCATTTATGGCGATTTTTGTACCTGAAAAGGGGAACTATTTCCTTAATGTCCTTCAGTTTCTTAATCTCCTCATCTCTAGCTGGGGCACAGAGCGTTCCCATCATCCCAATGATGAATTCAGCCAGCCTGGAAATGTCCAGGGCTCCATTCTCCGCCTCCTGCTTTATCAGGTCCAGATCGAGGACTTCTCTGATCTGGTTTCTCAATCTACTGTGACCAGGCAGCAGGAAAGATAAGAGGGTCTAAAAGAAAGCAGAGTAAAGCTCAATCAGCATTTCTCAGACAGTGCACTGGCTACGGACCTGCAGAGGAATTCCACCACAATCCACATAATGACTGACAGAGAGCTAGACTGGGAAACGCTTGGCTGTTTCATCTCTGATTCCACGCAGGAATGGACAAACCACTTTAGGGAGAAACGGAAGGGACTGGATTTCATCTGTTTAACTTTAAAGACTCCAGCCAGCACTGAAGGGTCACTGGACTTGGAGGCAGGAACGCCAAGTCTCAATCTTGCCTCCACCACTTGTTAGAGGCATAACCGTGGCCAAATCATAACCTCTCTGGGCCTCAGTTTCCACATTTGTAAAATGGAGGAATTGGATTAAATCTCTGGCTCTTAAATCTAGGTTCCTTTGATCTATGTGATAAGAAGTTTAGACCTAAATAACCTCTGGGATCCCTTCTTACACTGCGATTCTGTAATAAAAAATTTTCTTGGTGATTGTGATGAAAAGTAGAGCATATCTGTTCCCTCCTTCCACCTCTTCTCTCAATCATCCCAAAGCCAGGATTTGAAGATGTGTTTACTCGTGCTGTACTGCTGGGATGCGCTGGAAATTGCCAAAACTATAAATAACCACAATAAAATAATAAAATAAAATAACTGCATTTCAGTTACTTTCACACTATGCTTTTCTTAGTTTGCTGTCACAGTTATGGCTTTAGCAAATATTTCTATCACTGGAGGCCCTGAGACTGCCACAGCAGCATGATCCAATGGAGAAAACTTTCATCATGATCCTTTTGTCTTTTTAGCTGTAAAATGGGCATAATAAAACCTTTGGTCCAGGGATTCAGAGAGGGTTAACCCAGTAGGGAAACATCACATCTGACGTCTGATGAGTTGTGGATGAACTTCTCTTCCTCCTTACCTCTCTGATCTCCCCAACAAGTTTGATGGCGTGGTCATAAGTTGGTGGATCTTCACTTAGTTGGACACTCAAGCAATCCCAGAAGGCTTTATGGACAATCTCCCTGACTTTCTTCTGCAAGCTGTGAGCAAATAAAAAATGCAAAACTCTGAACTCCAAATTACAGACCCAAGAACAGAAATCACGTGGGTTTCAAGAACTCCGAATGTAAGTAATTAGTAAACTCTGAGAGCTAAATAATTTATTAGTTATCAAATGTGAAAGTGGGAAAAATTGAACAAGTTCAGGATAAAACAGGCCAATTCCAGTCGTAACTAGATCAATGACAGAGATAATTTTCTCTGTCCTCTGGTAACAATCTTCTCTGATGTTTTATCATACATGTGACCCTGAATTCTTGTCTTACCAAGTTGGGAAAGATTCAGGCCATAGGACCAGCATAGGGGGGAATGGCAAAATAATCTGGAAATTATGGCTCAAGATTGAGAAACAAAAGAGGCTGAAGACTTGTAGGCTACCCAGAAGCTTCATCCCTCTATATCATGACTACTGTCTTGCAGAAGAGATGGAAAGTGAGCATGAAACAGCACAACAACAACAATCTGGCTTTATTTTGATAGAAAATGGCTGGTTAACAATGTGTAAGTCATTTCAGGATCAGCTGACCGCAGGCACTCCTTATCTCATTAAAGCAAAGGTCAAAATCAACACACTTTAGTAGAAAGGAATTAAGATAGGAGAACACTGTGTATAATTATAGCTGTTCCAACCTGACCTATTCAAAGAAGTTACTGATGGCCCCCAAATGAGAAGTGGATAAAGGAAAAGATATGGATGAATATCATTCCCCTAAGAAAGTTTAGCTTACATAAAAACAATTATTACATAAAAACAACTCACTAGAAAACCAAAAGAGGACAGAAAGCGTCTCAGCTAGGAAATACTTGAGCTCTTCATTAAGGAGAGACACAGCAGCCCAGGGCAATGTTGGTTTAAAATATAGACTCATTTTTAAAAGTTTATAGAGGAGTAAGATTATAAGGTGTATTGTCCCCCAAAGCATCGAAGCACACTGTAAGAGAAATGAAGCCCCACAAATCTGGAATGAGTCCCAACTAAGCCACACACAAAAGAGCATTTATAGACATAACTTGAATGAGGGCACGCAAACAAAAAAAAAAATGGAACCTATCTGTCAGCATTTCTATGATAGACTATTTTCATCATTGAAATAGTGTAATAATATCTGGGTGGGAATCAATCAACAAAAGTACTTACTAAATGCCTAGTACGGCCCCAGGCTCTGTGCTAGGTAGACACTTACCACCTCAGCCCCCAATGTGCTACTAGAGATGACAAACCAATGAAGAAAGAGATTCCAAGAGCAGGAGTATCAGACCAAGTAAATACAAACAAACTCCATCCTGGGAGAAATACAATTTTGAAAGCACTGAAGGATTTGAAAACTATGAATGACAGGGAAGATACTGAGCCAGTGGAGAAAATGACAGCTTCATCTGAGCACTCCAAAAAAGGTGACTAAAAGGAAATCACAAACTACCAACCCACGTGGCTACTTCCTCTGTTGGTCTTTACTAAACACAACAAGGGTAGACTTGATGGAA